CAACTTGCCACCATCTCCTACGGTCTAGAGTTAAAGCCACACTCCTCTTGGCTCCTCAGGGGCGGCCTCACTCTCCAATAGTAAGATGCAGAAAGGGGACAGGTTCTTATTAGTAAGATGCAGTAAGGGACCAAGCTCTTAACAACAGCCCAGGTTTTCTTTAGATAATGCCCCACGTCTCACGGCTCACATGGTGGTATGTAAGGTATGCATGAATACGTACATGCAGGTATCTCTTGGAACCTGATATTGTTATCTGGTTACTGTTTAGTACTTTAAACTTGTTTTTACCTGATATTGCTATCTAATTGCTGTTTAGTACTTTAAACTCTTTTTATCAAAGTTTTAATGTTTTCCTAGTGAAAAGTTCCTGAAAGGCCACCATATCTAAAATAACATTACATAAAACTGAAGGCAGAGCAGTATTTTCCAGCTAATATCTGATTTCCTGTCCAGTTACACCTGTATCACATATCTGAGTTTCTGTACAGGCATGGGAACTTTTGCACACGTGTATGTTATTTGTGACAATTGCACATGTAATAAATATAATGCAGCTTTTATATACAGTACTAGAGCAGGGGTAGGCAGCCTCAGCACTCCATCTGTGCTAAAGCTAAAAATCCCATCATGCCTCTGGGAGTCATGTTTGTGGCTATCAGAGTCTTGCAGTGCCTTGGGGGACTTGTAGTTCCACAACAGCTGCCTGAATGAGGCTGTCCACCCCTGATTGAGTGCAATCTGTTTCTGAAAGATAAAATCATGTCCTTATCAACATGAAGCTGACTATTAGACATGTGCAAAACAGAAAACATTTTCAGACAAAGCAAATGAAAACGAAAAACGTTTTCATTTGTTTCGTCAAAGGAATGTTGTTATGTTGTTTCAGATTCTGGGGTAACGAGCCCCTGAATCTCAAACCGCAGAACGAGCGGCGGCCACATCGGCCTCTGGTTCGTTCTGCGCATCGCCATTTTGGAGTAGATGTTGGTATACACCAAGATGGCGGTGCCCTCATGTTCGAGTGCCTCCATCTTGGTGTAGACCTAGATCTACTCCAAAATGGCAGCGGCGGCGATCTGGCCGCTGCTCGTTCAGCGTGTGATGTCATACGCTCCGCCTCCAAGATGGAGGCGGGCATGCGCAGAACACGCTGACGGCCAATATGGCTGCCAGTGTGTTCTAAAAAAGAATTAATGTATGCCCAAATATCGTTGTAGTATATTCGGCCATATAATAAATTCGTTATTTCGGATTCGAACGAACAGCCGAATGAACTGATTTTCGTTGATTTGCAGGTTCGTCCGAATCTGAATGCACATGTCTACTGACTATGTTGGTCCTCATTTTATAGCCCAATGCCAATGAAAACCTTTATTTTAATAAGGAAAAGGGCAACAATCAGGGTGTAAAGCAACTGTCCTATACAAATGCTTCAAACCGATCTTTGTTGTCAGTTTCAGTTTGCAATACCAGTTTTGGGCAGGCTGACCAATTAAATGAAACCTGTACAGAGAGAAATGTGGGGCTGCCATTTTTTTTAACTTCTTCTGGAAGTGCTAGTTGTTTCTGTCCCTGACACTTTGGGTTAATGTTCTGGAACAGGTATGCAAAGTCAGAACTCTTTAAATGCATGTACCGGTAGTCAGGAAATATAGAAGCCATGAGACCAGCAAGTAGACATGTGCGATTTGTTTCATTCCGAATTTAAATTTGAATGAATTTCTGTGAATTATGATATTCGGATGCATCCAAATTTCCAAATGTCAGAAATAACGAATCTAAAGGAATCTGAATGTTTGATACCGAAATTCGGATACATCCGAATTTCATTCGGGGCAAAACACAAACGGGAGAGCTGTCATTTGCCGCTCTTTGGCTTTTCTGCACTTGTATCCTGAATGAAAACAAAGTAACACAATATTGCTACAAAATGTAAATAATGAAAGAAGCTGAGAGATCTGTGTTATTCTGTAACAGCTTCTGCTTCTTTGAGGACACCTCTATTCCGAATGTAAAGAATCTGATAGCTGTTGCAGCTAAGTGTTTGACTGTCCACAGAAACAATAATAATACAAAAAACAGATCCTTTAGGTCTGGTAGGAATGTTAGGGGGGACCCCATGTAAAAAAAAAAAACCCACAACAAAACATATAAACAGCGTGCGATTCCCTGGAAATTCGTACCAGACCCTTTAGGTCTGGTAGGAATTTTAAGGGGAACCCCAACACAGAAAAAAACTGGGTACCCCCTTTCTCTCTCAGGTACGCTCTTCTGCAGGAGCAATAGCCATTCTGCCACTGGCTATTTACATCAGGGGTCCCCACTAACATTCCTACCAGACCTTGCTTTTTTTTTTTATTGTTTTTGTTTCTGTGGAGTGTCAGGAATTAAAAAGAAACAAAGTAAACATTTCATGTCACTTTTCTGCAACCAATTTTTGTTCATAATGATCATTTAACTCATCCAAATGCGAATGCCAAAACGAATTGACTTTCAGACCCGAATCTCGCAAACAAAATAACAGAACACCCGAAACTAATAAAACATTTTGCCGGCTTACATGTCTACCCGCAAGGCAGCTTAGCCAGGAAACCGACATTTTCAGTAGTAGGGGTCTGAGCAGTTTCCCTATCATCATATGCGTTGCTATGTAACCAATTTAGCTTCAATTTTGGAACAAAAACTGTACATAGGCACGACCCCTTTTTAGCCAGCTTCTGCAAAATGTAAGTGTTGTGAATATCTTTCCACTTACATGTAGTAGGTTATACTGAAAAAAAAGGCATTTGCATGACTTGACTAAACCATCCCACATTCTGCGGTTTTAGAGCTCCAGGTTCCCAAATTAAGTAAATTGTCCCAGCTGCTAAAATGTGTATGATCAGCACAAAACATGAACCAAGATGTCTCGGATCACATTGAGCAGAGTGACACCTACTGCTCCATGTCTGTTCCCGAATGATATGGAACATTGCGCGGTACAAGAGAAGAACTGTTCATGTAGGTGGACTAGAAAGGGTGACAGCTGTCAGTGGGCACTGACCTGGTACTGCCAATAGAGGGCGCTCTTGTTCAAGGATGGAATCTGCTGAATATTTCATAGTGTTCCAATGTATGCTTTATGTTACTTACGTTATACTTAAGCTGGCCATACGATGGTAGATTTCGGAACGTATATTCATATGAAAAATCTTGTCGGAGCATTGGATAATGTCATCAGACATTTGACGAATGTCATTCGAAAATTCATTTGATTTCAGCAATTGATTTTGAAATGAATAAAGTTTCCCAAATGAAAACCTCATTCGCTGTTAGAATTTTGCTTGTTCGTAAACAAATTTCCATCCTGGTTATTCCTGCTTATTTTTTTCGTCGTATAGTGGAAATCGATTGTTGATTTGACCCCATTAACTCTTAGGAACTCAAACAAATGTTCATCAAATAATTTTTTTAGTGCATGGCCAGCTTCAGTGTTCATCGGCGGCATCTCTCAGGATCGTCATTGCATGACGTTTAACTTTAATGTTAAAGAAGAACTGAAAAAATTATTCTTAACCCTAAGTGCTCATTTTTGTCTATGGTATAAAATAAAAAAAGTTTTCCTCCTCTGATCCTTTGAGCCAGCTGGCTGTTAGACTGGTCCCTGTAGCCTCGCTCCCTCTCCTCTGCAGTGGTCTAGGGATCCTTGAGCCATCACGTTCTATACAGTGTATAGGATGCCATCGCTGTAGCGTAGGAGGAGAGAGGCAAGAGGGAGCAGAGTCACAGCCGAGGATTGGGTGAGTATAACTTTTTGTACTCACCCGGTCCTTCCATCCTCTCTCCCCCTCCTCTGCAGCGTTCTAATGATCCTTGATGTATTGCAGAATCCATACAATGATGTATTTATTACAAATATTGGAACATATGTTTAATAAAATTAGTATGAATACATGTGTTTGACTTGATCATCCTTGTGTATTCTCCTGTAGAGCAGCACTCAGACTGGGAGAGCGAGGGGGAGAACTAGGTGCCAATCAGGTATCCTACATTTACATGTGCTGATAGGAGCAAAGAAGATAAAAGGGCGGCATCAGTCTATTGCTGCTCTCTCATTGTCCAATCACAAGCTGGGGCTGGAGACCTCTCTGAGTTGCTCAATTCCAGGAAAGAAAAGTCAGGTAACCGGGCTGGCTTTGTTTCCAATGTAAATCTGGGTGTGTCGATGCCTGGTCCACCGCTGTGCCCTCTGGTTCCATTGGTCAGCCAATACATTAATACAGGGTCCAGTATTGAGGTTGGGGTCAGCAGAAGGAAGCACACCACATGGAGGTTTTTGCCAAGTGGAGTGCAAAGCAAACTAATAGGATGTACTGTAAGTCCAGTTTAGTGAAGGCAAGACTTGGACAGTCTCTTAAAGGGCCTTTTTTTACCAGCCATGTTTATATATTAGGAGTACACTTGGGGACATCCAAAACTATGGAACTCTATTAGAACTCTATTACAAGCCCCTGCAAAGTCCCACAAATACCTGTTGACCTTGCCAGTGAAGTCCACCTAATGCAGCTTCCTGTGATGCTATGGCAACAATGCTGCACTGCTCCTAAATTCAGAGCAGAGTTGCCACCCTCATGTGGGCTGTGCCTGCTTGCACTACAGTGGGATGAATAAATGTTGCGAGAGGTGTGTGGCTATTGCCATTGTTACTGCTGATGAACAAGCCTGAGGCTTGTCAATCAGCACCTGGCAACACCTAGTCCTGCCCACTGCTTTCTGGATTGACAACATTGCTTCTGTTGTTGGAACCCTCCCACTGTGAGCTGCAGTGTCTGGGAGGGGGAGTGGGTGGGACACAAATGGAGGAAGATTTGGCTCGGTAAAGGAAATATTTTGTTTACTATGTGATTTACATCTGCATCACAGTAACGAGATTTGGGACTTGTTTAGACTGTTATAGAGGAGCCTTTAGTTGAAATTTAATAAGTAATTTTTGTATCTTTTAATTTTCAAACCTCCAGCATCTCCAAGTACCTCCCACTTTGGCCATGTGGAGCTGACAGTAATAGTCACCATTCCAATCTGTGTCCTGTCATTAGCCATAATCCTAACGGCCTACACCTGTCAAAGGCGGCACGGCACCTACAGAAAGACAAGGCGGCAATGTATTGAAGAGCCGCTCACTGACTGTAACCTGGACACTGATGGGAAATGCTTGAAAGATCTCATATATGATATGACTACATCAGGATCTGGGTCTGGTAAGTGCAATCCTTTTAATTAAATCGTAAAATTTCCAGCCAAAAAATATTACTGTTGGGATTTAAAAAAATAATAGCATTTAAAAGCCTGTTACACTGTACATTAGCAGGTAGGGGCTTCTTGACTATTCCTGATGGGAAACTGTCTATATGCACCCATCAACCTGTCATAAACTGTACCCTATTCATTGATTTTGAATGTGGCCCATTGGAAAAAATGGACCTGCACTCCTTTTGTGCAAAGAAATGCACCAAAACCAACAAATATTCACATATTTGTATTGTGGTGCCCTGCAGTTCTGGTCAGTATCTTCGAAGTATATCCGAAGATTGGCAACACACTGCAATGCATATATACCACACTTTGTGGTGTCGCATAAGTGTATCCAGGAACTGCTTCTGCACATTTTAGCTGGTCCTTTTTGAACCATTTCGGCCTGCATCCCTCAATCAGCTGATCAAAAGGGCTCGATGGAAAATCTTTGAACAAACCGAGCCGACAGCTAATGAGCTCCTGGCCCTGTTTGGGCATTCTCACAATGGCCAGCAGCCGCTGTCAGGATACAATGAAGACAGCGGGAGATTCCTCAATTAAAGCTCATAAGAGATGATGGAGGAATCTGTTATATTTTCTTCGTTCAGCCCACAGGTTGAACAAAGAAAATATTAGAGTGTGTGGCCACCTCTAGGTTTTTGACCTGACATTATGAAGATTCAAGCATCACTTTATATTACTGTGTATTGTTTGGGCTACAAATACATGAGAAGAAGCATCTTATAGTCATGAAATCTTTAAAAATAATCCAGCCCAAAATTTGGTTTTGATAGAGCAAAGAAGGGGTAGACCCTCTGACAGGAGACTATCTCTGTCTGTGCTCCTGTTGGATAGATTTTCCTTTACTTCTTGTGTGGCCTCCTGGACAGGAAGTGAGCAGAATCCCAAATGGGGAATGGATAAAACCAAAAAACATGGCTCTCTGTGTCCAGTTTGGTCAAGAAGTGAGATGACATCTTCTCAACTTAGACACAAATGTTCCCTCTTCCCAAATCTCTGTATCCTACTAACCATATTTTCCCCACTTTTTTAGTCTGATGAACAGACCTCTATTAAAATGCTCTATTCAATTATCAAAAGTGTTATACTACACTAAACCTTTCATCAAACATCTGTGCTAGAAAGTGTCAATCTTTGTTATCTCCGAAACTTGGTAGGTAAGCAAAAAATAAGAACAACCCACAAAATTCTACTTCTCTACAC